AATGAACTGACCATCCTGCATATGTCAAACTCAGTCCCTTGTCACCTTGCTGCACCATTAGGGTCTGGCCAAACCACCATGTGCATGATTAAAACAGGTTCTTTTAGTGCCTACAGGGCAGAATTATAAGGAAAACATTTCAACATAACAGAAATGAAAAAAAAATGCAAATTACAATTGGGATGTGAACTTCTCATGAGGAAAAGGAATGAACTAAAACAAAAATATAACTCCTTATTTATTTTTCGAAACATTTCAAACAATTTTCGTTTCCTGAAGAATTTTAGAGAAACTGAAATTCTGAAAAGTTTTGTCCTTTTTTGAATTTCCATTTCATACCCCTAAATCCCTATTTTGTAAACAAATTTCTGTTGGGATCCTTGTATTGAATTACAAAATTAGAATTATAACCCAAGACACTGGTAATATTTGAGTTATGCTTGGATATATATTAAAATTATCCTGTTTTTGTTGTGTATGTTGAGTTTATGTCATCCTATTTGATGTATAGTTTAAAGTTATCAGATGTAAACAGTTATCCAGTCTAATTGCAAAGTCTGTGTTAATTTTTTCAAAAGTATATTTGGGATATCAGTAAGAATGGGCAATTGTTAGTAACTTTTTATTCAGTATTTGTCAAGCAGAGATGAGGTAGAGAAAATTTGTACAAGAAATATATTTAAAAGAAAATTTGCAACTTTTACTTTTAAAGTATTAGGAAATATATATTATATAATGCTTATCTTTGAATTTTTATAATTATTTTTATTAGGATTGATCTTTATATTGATGTATGTTGTCAGTCTGCCATTTTCAAGAAAAGTACCAATTGTACATATTTTACACTTTTTTTTATATTATAGCATTTAATTAATTTTTTTAGTTTTTGTTGAAATAGATATGACATCAACATCCTTATAGTAGAAATCATTTTATACAATATTACTTACTTTGTTAAGTTTAGCAAATAATAAAATTAATAAAAATAAAAATAAATAAATCTATTATATTGTAACTACATTAGAATTAAAATTTTAAAGAAAATTATGAATTAATAATGTTGATAGAGATGACTGTTCAGATGATGATGTATTTCCTTTGAATTTATCAGCAACAATTTGCATTAATTTTTTTATATTTGACTCATTGATAATGATTATTGAGAAACAGTATTTATAATATATGTAGGACTGTATTAAAACCTTTTGACATTGATGGTGTTGACCATAGGCAACTACATATATTTTGTAATAATTTTCCCACATCAAAAACAGTATAATCATTTTACTTTTTGTTATGAAATCTTGACAAAAAAAAACCCCATTAAAGTTTGTTCTAGTGACATATCCAGAAAGCTCTTATAGATATGATTTATATAAAAATCAATTCACAATAAACCTTTGACCAGTAAAATATTTATTTGAAAAACAAACGTTTTCGACCGTATTCTTTGGCCTCCTTCAAGTTAAACATTTCGAGATTCGAAAAGCCGTTGTGCTTACAGATTTAAAAGTTTTGGAACATATTCAACTCATAATCATAAGTGTCGACTTACGTAACGCGCGAATCATTAAACTTTCACACAGAAGGGAACACATAAGAACGCTAGAAACCTTGGAAATATATAAAGCGGGGTTACGGAATAACTGCATCAACTATAAAGATGCGAGTAATATTTCTACAGCTTGGAGGTTTGTCGTTGATGGGGAAGGCCCCCACAATTCTAGTTAGGATGTTGCTAACATCTCATGTGCGTGAAAAATAAGATTGTTTAGATAAGATTATTTAAATAAATTTTGCGTATGCAATGCTTGATACGCATGCTCATAATGAGTTGAGTATGTTCCAAAACTTTTAAATCTGTAAGCACAACAGCTTTTTGAATCTCAAAGTGTTTAACCTGAAGAAGGCCGAAGAATACGGTCGAAAACGTTTGTTTTTCAAATAAATATTTTACTGGTCAAAGGTTTATTGTGAATTGATTTTTATATATATTGATCCAGTACCTGGTGAGAAGAAACCTTTACATAAGATATGATTTAATTATATTTTCAAAACCAGTTCAAAAGAATTCAAAAAAATTATCTCAAAGTAGTATTAAAAACTTTATATAAAAATTAATTTATTATTAATCCATTTTAGATCTGAAATTAGAATTTGAGATTATAACAATATGAATGATTAGAGTGAATGAGATTAGAACAGGTCTTTCTTCTAATGGTAATCTGGTGGTGACGGTACAGTGCAACATTGTTGGCTACGGAGTTGGATTGGCAGTTGTGGTTGCAGTGATGATGACGTATGCCAAGAGGTCCCAAACAGATGCTTATTAGTCAGACTCAAACCTCAGAACACACATACTCTACTTTCTTATTTCTTGTTTTATTGCTAATTTTCATATTACATTCATGTTATCTTTCATGTTAATCCAAATTTCGGGAGAAAGTTTTTTCCAATGGCAACTCAAAGCACTGAATAACAAAATGTCGCCGGCATATATTTGATGAGTTGCTAATAAATAATATGACAGATATTCTGAGTGGAGGGTCCTTTATTTTTTTTGGAAGTAAGTTAANTATTTCATAAGTAAGACAACTACATGAACATTGAAAGTGAATCTATATTTTATAAATTTATAGATAAATAAATATATATGTTCAAATATTGAAAAGTGTAGATAATTTTATCCTTTCTGTATGTTTATTATATATTTTTTATTTATTCCTATTGCACAATATTAAAATTTTTAAATGTAAACTTAGCACCTGCCACTTTTCTTTGACGTGATTGCTTTTCAAGCTCTCCTTCCAAAATTAAATTTGGATTTTCTATTACCCGTAATAAACTTGGTACATGCATAATTCTTACTATCAAATACTGCATTTGCTCAAAAATCATGAATTTGCAATTATTAACAACAAGCCAACATAGCTGCCAAATGCAAACCAATTTTACAGCAAAAAATTTTAGACTTATGTTTTTAACATCAATATATGGAAATAAGTAAAAAAAGTGCTAAATGCTTGACAAGTACATATCATAATTTGGAATGGAGTAAATATTATATTTTACTTTTTCTAGGCAGTTTTTCACTTTGTAAAAAAAAAAAAATTTAATTTATTATTATTTTCCAGCATTATTAATAAAAAAAATGTATATACATTATGTACATGGTGTACAAAATTAAAGACTAAATCTGGGCAAATTCAGATAAAATTATAAATTTATTATTTTATATAATTAAAAATAGTACCTGATAATGTAGAACAGTATACAAACAATATTCTACTGAGAAAATTATATTAATTTAAAAAGAAAATTTGGATTAATATACATTTATATACATACATATCTTATAGATTTTGTAAATATGTAGTAATTAAAAGAATGAGATTAAATATTAAAAACACAAAGTGTGTTATATTTTGTTGTATTTTGTTTTGAATTAATGAATACAATATTGCAATAATATATAAAATTTGGAGCTGTTGTTCCTTAAAAATATAAATTCATCATGCATCTTATATAAATATGTGTATTTATGTTGATAAGTATATAATATATATACATATATTTATATGAAGTATTTATAATGTAATTTTTCTAGTATATTTTCTATGTATCATTCACTTTTTATAAAATTATAAATTCCAATTTTTTTTAGAAATTAATTAATTTAAATACTTCAAAATTTAACAAATTAAAAAAATAACAACATTATCATTTAATAAAAGTTATTTTTAAATAAATAAATTCTTTTATTTATACGAAATTAAAACAATCCAATTTTAAGATATTTAATGAGCTTAATCATATTATCATACTTATGATTTCTATTAAAATTTATTTATTTATTTTTGCATACAATTTCAAATGTTTATAAACAATTCTATTTCATGAATTAAAATTTTTAATTGGATAATTTCTGTGCATATAAAATATTTTAAGTACCAAAATTGTAGAATTTTATTCAATACTGATTTTAATATAGAATTTTCATTTTTAGTATCAATTTTCTTTTTAATAATTTTAAATTAATATCTAATCATTTTATGTCAATTTTTATCAAACAAACAAAGAAGGGGGAAAACTAAGACTTTCTGAAACACTCTTTTATTAAACATTATTTTCAAAAATTCCCTGATAAATCAATTTATTAATTTGAAAAAACTGATTATTTAATATATGTATTCTTCATATTCTATTTGTATATGTTTAGTACTGATTATAATATACAACCAAACCCTGTATAAGTAAGTGATCATTGAAACTAAATGTGATAGTCTATACAACTATGAACAGTTCATATTAAATGTTCTTTGTTTCTTTTCTGTTTTTCAAAATACAACCACAGAACTGACAAAAGACATGTCAGTAATCTTTTCACAAATCTTCTTGATCGACAAACAGTCTTGTTATAAATTAAATATCGTTGTTTAACATTTCTCATTCTTATAATAATTTGAAACTATCCACAACAGTTCAAATTCTATACAAGAGTAACAAAAGATTTAAATATATTTATCTTGAATTGCTATGGATATAATAATAAGTTTCTTTCAAAATGAAATAAATTGTGTCATTTATATTAAATTCAATAGGATTAATATTTAAAAATTCAGGTAAGGAACTTTTATCTTTTAATGAACATTTAAATTTCAAGTATTTAACCAATACCAAAGATCTTTTTCATACTTGCTAATTTGTAACAATCTAACTATTGTCTTTCACAGTTAATTACAACAAGGCAGGGCATAGTATAACCACAATATAGGGAATGATAGTTGCCTAAAGGAAGATGCAGCAACCTATTTCATTATAGCTAACTTCAGAACTCATTAACATACCACTGTGACAATTCATGTCAGTTTTTTGACTTATTTTCAATGTTATTTAATAAAGATATGCCTTCATCAGTTATACTTCATCTGATCTGCTTCCATAATGACAGATTCTTAATGGTGTAAATCTACACAGATATAAACAGGAGATCATATGTATCAAATACTTGTTTCATGAACTTTAGTGGGCTCAGTAAGAAGATGATAGCCCTGGGCTAATGGACTATTGATATTGAAACCAGCTCTACTACTACTATTATTATAGGAGGCATTGGAGGAAGGCGAGGAAGAATTAACTGGAGTGATACTTGTAGTTGTGGTTGGTGAAATAGATGGTGTTCCCTGTTGGGTCTGGATAGGTGGTTGTGATGATATTGGTGATTGATGACATGAAGATCTTTCCATTAGAGGAGCAGTCTCTGCATGTGTATCAATTTCACTTGGAGCAGATGGTAGTTGAGAATTAAACTGGTTGATATTATTATGATGAATTTCTCTGTTATTCAAATTCTTAGCTCCGGCAGAATTAGATACAGAAGTTGGATTTGTATTTTTTAGCTGATCGGCTATTTCGTAGGGATAATCATTTGGCGATGGTGTTTTGAGATCTTCGTCAATGTAGCTAATATCAGAGAGCGGCCTCGGACCAGGGTGACTACGTGAACTACGCAAACTGTGTAAACTGTGTAAACTATGTACACTACGTCTTTCCTCCATATCTTCCAATGTGCTCTTAAATGCCCTGACTACTCGAAGCTGTGGAAAGGAAAAAGGAAACATACATACAACACACAAATAATTAAGGAGGAATTAGAAACATTAAATAACACAAAAACTAAATAATTCAGTCACATCACAAAATAAATATTATGCAAAGCATTCAATTATATCATTCAAGTGATTTTATATTTCTTACACCTGACCATTTCCCTGATGTCCAAAGATGTCTGGCAGTGATATATACACACGTTTTTATATCACTATATTCCTGAAATTATTTATTGAAAAAAATACCAAAGCTTATCATGCTATTCAATATATTGAATTATATATTCATAACATGCACATAATTTGGAACAATTTTGACACTTAATTGTCATTCATATTTGACAATTTTAATTCATCATTATTAAACAATATCACTACTTTTAATATTAAACTATAGCAATGGCAACAGTAATAGTTGTAATAACAATAAACAACAACAACATTAATAATAAAATAATAATGATTAATAATAATTATTATGTAATAAATTTTATTTATAAATATAAAAGTTACATGCAGCAAATTTTAAATACTGCAGCAAAGTTGTTAAAATAACATTTTTCTGCACAGAAAAAAAAAGCTTGATGGATGAAGTAGAATATCTTAAATTTTTCTTTATCAAAAACTGTACACACTTTTTTTTATAGAAAAGTTATATTAAGAATATATATACTTGAAATTCAATGATATAGTCTGTAAATATTATAGATAATATTAAAAATATAACTGGAAAAAATATCATTACTCATAAAAATAATCCAAATATAGATAAATGAAATATTTACTGATTATTTCTTCAATATTCACATACCAATATTTATATATTTTTACCAAAAATAGTTTAATAAATTGAGCAATACTTTCATTTTAATTAGTAAAATAGTTTTGAAAATGAAATTAATCTTACTGAATTATTAAAAATGTTTCAAATCTATGTAATTTAAAATCTTTAAAATGTTTGAGAAAAGTGCTTGGAGACAGATGCATAATTTTTATATCAGGAAGAAGAAAAAACTCATTGTGAATCAAAGTTTTTGAGCTAAATAATTACAATTAGTTGTTATTTTACATTAAAAAAGGTTCACTAAATTTGAAACAGTGTCTTATTATTTGCTTTATTTATTCAGCACTGTGCTGAATAAATAAATAAAAAATTTAAAAAAGGTTTTAAATAAAACTTTAGAATATAAATTTTATTTTCTATAGATTAGAAAGACAACAATGAACAAGATATATCTGAAATAAAAAATTTCCAAATAGTTATTTAGTTTCTTTTTTAAATTCTCCTCAATCTCTGAATTAATTTCTCAATCAGAAGTATTTAAATACATCCATAATTTGATGAAAATATATAATAAAATTTAAAAAGTTACTGAAGCATTACAATAACTTTGCTTTAAGAGGTTAAGAATTAATATGTGGAACTGGAGAAGTTTGTGATCTTTGTCCATGACTCTCTTGGCCAGTTCTGTGGTACACCTGTTATTTTGTATGTTTTCCTGGTGTTCTTGGATATGTGTCTGGAGCATTTTAGTAATAGCTCCAATATAATTGATTGCTGTCCCCAAAAGACAATGTTATAGAGATATGGCATATATTCCAAATTTTTCCAGCAAGTTGACTTCATCTCTGTCATTATTAAAAGCTGACACAACATAGATGGGGTCAGTGAGAAGATTAACCTGAATTTTCTGAATGTGTATGTGGTAGCTAATGACCGCAAATATAGTATTGTGGACTGTATGTAGCTAAGATGCACAGAGTGGTTAGCATAAAGTTATTTTTATGCAGTTAACAAAATATTTGAATTTTGCAGATGTATAGCCTGCCTTACATATCACAACTAATACTAACTGCAGCTTATTGCAGTTAGTATCAGTTGTGCAAGTCTAGCTTGACTAGTTCATAAACATAGCATTCTAGTCAAGCAGCGGTTAACAATAAGTTATCCAACTTATTGTCAATTGTTGCTTGACTAGAGGGGAAGAGAAATGCTCTGCTTATAATAGCTATTATGGAGGAATTTACATACTGAGTGGGGTTGGAAGGCCATTGATAGAATAATGTGTTGAATTTATGGAAGACAGAAAACATAATTTCTCCTGGGGATCTGTGTATATATATATAGAATAAGAATGATATTTTAGCATTGTCATCATATTCTTTCATGAAGAAAACAGAAGAGTAAATGGAGGACAATATTTCTATAAATAGTAGTAGTTCCTTCTCCAAGCCCTCCGAAGTGATAATGGTATAATTGTTGCTTCTCCTATGAAATAACAGGTAAATCACAGAACTGGCCAAAAGTGTCCTGGACCAAGATCACAAACCCTTCTGGTCTTGCACATTAATTATTAAACAATACAATGCTATCCTATAGAAAAGCATTCTACATTATCTCCTTCCTACTTTTTTAACAGTGCCACCTTAACATTCCCAAACTATAGATCACATTATTTAATCAATTTAAATCATAAAACTAGACTTAAAAAAACATTATTAAAAGTTAAAAAACAAAAAAACAATTTAAAACTTTTATCAAATTTAAAATTTTTGTACATTCCATGAGCATGCAGCTGGAACAATTTTAAAAGACAGTAGCCTATTATGTTCTTGTTCAAATATTATTTATTATTTTTATTAATGCTTTCAAGTTCAAATTCCTTCTAGATTTCTAAAAAAATTTTAACTTAAAAAGGAAATAATGTTTATTTTAGAAAAATAAATGAAGAATAGTAATAAAATAACCATATTTTGTCAATTTATGTATATAAGCAATTTTTGTTTCAAAATTTCACCTTTCATGTAACAAAATCTATTTACATGTCAATGTTTTTATATATAATATAAAGACATTAAATCATGATTGTATCAAAATCACTATTTTTTTAATAAATACTCAAAAATTTCCTTACTTTTCTCAACAGGGTTTTAATTAGCATTGTATAATTATAATAATAATAAAATACTTTTGCTATCTATCTGAATATTTTATTTTAAAATACTGTATATAACATACATTTATTTAGCACAGAACTAAAATTTAAATTGTTAACACTAAACAAAAATATCTATTTTAAACCTTTGTTTAATGTTAACAATTTAAATTAATTATGTTATATATATATATATATAAATTATATATATATAATTGTTATATATATATAACATAATTAATTAATGTTAACAATTTAAATTTTAGTTCTGTGCTAAATAAATGTATGTTATATACAGTATTTTAAAATAAAATATTCAGATAGATAGCAAAAGTATTTTATTATTATTATAATTATACAATGCTAATTAAAACCCTGTTGAGAAAAGTAAGGAAATTTTTGAGTATTTATTAAAAAAATAGTGATTTTGATACAATCATGATTTAATGTCTTTATATTATATATAAAAACATTGACATGTAAATAGATTTTGTTACATGAAAGGTGAAATTTTGAAACAAAAATTGCTTATATACATAAATTGACAAAATATGGTTATTTTATTACTATTCTTCATTTATTTTTCTAAAATAAACATTATTTCCTTTTTAAGTTAAAATTTTTTTAGAAATCTAGAAGGAATTTGAACTTGAAAGCATTAATAAAAATAATAAATAATATTTGAACAAGAACATAATAGGCTACTGTCTTTTAAAATTGTTCCAGCTGCATGCTCATGGAATGTACAAAAATTTTAAATTTGATAAAAGTTTTAAATTGTTTTTTTGTTTTTTAACTTTTAATAATGTTTTTTTAAGTCTAGTTTTATGATTTAAATTGATTAAATAATGTGATCTATAGTTTGGGAATGTTAAGGTGGCACTGTTAAAAAAGTAGGAAGGAGATAATGTAGAATGCTTTTCTATAGGATAGCATTGTATTGTTTAATAATTAATGTGCAAGACCAGAAGGGTTTGTGATCTTGGTCCAGGACACTTTTGGCCAGTTCTGTGATTTACCTGTTATTTCATAGGAGAAGCAACAATTATACCATTATCACTTCGGAGGGCTTGGAGAAGGAACTACTACTATTTATAGAAATATTGTCCTCCATTTACTCTTCTGTTTTCTTCATGAAAGAATATGATGACAATGCTAAAATATCATTCTTATTCTATATATATATACACAGATCCCCAGGAGAAATTATGTTTTCTGTCTTCCATAAATTCAACACATTATTCTATCAATGGCCTTCCAACCCCACTCAGTATGTAAATTCCTCCATAATAGCTATTATAAGCAGAGCATTTCTCTTCCCCTCTAGTCAAGCAACAATTGACAATAAGTTGGATAACTTATTGTTAACCGCTGCTTGACTAGAATGCTATGTTTATGAACTAGTCAAGCTAGACTTGCACAACTGATACTAACTGCAATAAGCTGCAGTTAGTATTAGTTGTGATATGTAAGGCAGGCTATACATCTGCAAAATTCAAATATTTTGTTAACTGCATAAAAATAACTTTATGCTAACCACTCTGTGCATCTTAGCTACATACAGTCCACAATACTATATTTGCGGTCATTAGCTACCACATACACATTCAGAAAATTCAGGTTAATCTTCTCACTGACCCCATCTATGTTGTGTCAGCTTTTAATAATGACAGAGATGAAGTCAACTTGCTGGAAAAATTTGGAATATATGCCATATCTCTATAACATTGTCTTTTGGGGACAGCAATCAATTATATTGGAGCTATTACTAAAATGCTCCAGACACATATCCAAGAACACCAGGAAAACATACAAAATAACAGGTGTACCACAGAACTGGCCAAGAGAGTCATGGACAAAGATCACAAACTTCTCCAGTTCCACATATTAATTCTTAACCTCTTAAAGCAAAGTTATTGTAATGCTTCAGTAACTTTTTAAATTTTATTATATATTTTCATCAAATTATGGATGTATTTAAATACTTCNGCTTCGTTTTAAATGTTTTCAATTAGCATTTTGACTTGATTAAAGCGATATCCAACACAAAAATGATAAATTAACACTCCTAAACCTTAAAAGTCCAGTAGTAAACATTTAATAGCAAACAAATGTTTTCAACCGTACCTTCGGTCTTCTTCAGGTTTAAAAACTAGTTAGATTCAAACAAGGGAAAGCATAGAACAACGATTATGAAAAAAATTTTAAAAATGGAACAGCACAAATGGATTTTAAAAGAATAAATAATTATGCGTATGCATTGCCATGGTGATGGAATGGTATATGTAATACATAAACTTAAATAAAAACATAAATACACCCAATGGGGATGTGTTTCCTAACTGCTAGAGTGAGCATTGCCCGTTCCTTCATAGCAGTACTTCCAAGCGTGCAACACATTGACCGCATCATTATAGTTAATGCACTTGGTGCGTAACCCGGCCTTGTAAATTTCAAGTGCCTCCAGGTTACGTATGTGTGTTCCACCCGGTGAGAAAGTTTGATCAGTTTGGCCTCATGTAGGCCCACTCTTATGCCAGGTTCAGTGGAGCATGTAGATAGGGCGGTGGTGTGCCTTTTATTAATGATGTCGTATTTGTGTTCCTGTAATCTTTTATTTAAAGAGCATTTTGTGGACCCACTATAAACTAATTCCCTTTGAAACCTGTTGTCCCATAGAGGAACCATGTAGACACCCGGTGCTTGTTTTTTATTGATTTTGTCTTTGCCACTGCAGAGTAGCTTATATACAGTGCTGGGCCTCTTATATGCAATCTTAGTATTAGTATGGGTGGCAATCTCCCTGTAAACGGAGTTGAGGTGGTGGTTGTACTCAACCACTGCATGAGACTGTGTTCTATTTATGTTGTGTGTTCCGCGGGCCTCTACTTGTGTGTTAGAAGTGTTGCGTGCGGCTGTTCGTGTGGAGTATGCGCGGGCAAGGTCGTGTATAAGGTTCTTGCTATATCCGTGCCGTACTGCTATGTTCTGAATGCATTTCAACTCCGTCTCTGTGTCTTCAGATCTAATGTGGTGTGTAAAAGCCCATTTTCTTAGGACTCAGAATGCCAAGATTTTATAAGAATATGGGTCTGCAGAGTTGGCTGGGATGAACAATGGCCTATAGCATGATTTGTAATGTACTTTTGTTACCACCCTAGTGCTGTCAAGTTGAAGGTGGATATCCATGAAATGTGCAGCTGTATTGCTCTTCTGATCCAATTTGATGGTGAGTCCGTAAGGATTGTCATTCATTGCACTTATGAAATTGTTTATGTTCGGTTCGGCTTTCCATAGAATAAAGATGTCATCAACATACCTCTTGTATATGAGAATGTTGGAAATGAACTGTGGTATGATCTTTCCTTCAATCTGCCTTATCACCAACTTGCATAAATTCCCTGAGAGCAGGCTGCCCATAGGTACACCATGCTTTTGTAAATACATATTATTGTTAAATCGAAAAAAGGAGGTGTAACATAGAATGTGCGCCAGCTCTAAAATGTGTTTATGATGTGCAGTGGCACTGGGTTCACTAAGAAATAGATCCCTAATCGCACAGAAGCACGGTTGTATTTTGATTGAGGTATATAGAGATACAAAGTCAAAGACGGTGATGCACGCATCCTCAGTTATGGTAACAGGTCGCAAGGTATCTATTAAATCAGTGGAGTTCTTGATTATCCACGGATAATTGCTCAAATGGTCATATATCCGTTTGTGTACAGCAGAATCTAACAAACGAGTCGGGGATCTGGCTTTATCCAGAACAGGTCTCAGGGATAGTGATTCTTTATGCGTTTTAGCGAATGCAAATAACCGTGGCGTGTCCGGTGAGGCAACCACTGCCCTGTTTAACTTCCACTCTCTAGCAAAGGGAGTTTGCATAAACCTTTTTACCCATGCTTGTAGCCTATTTACGTACAGTTCATCAATGGGTTCACAGTCGGTGTCTACTATGTATGTCTGCATTAACGAGTTATAAGTGTCCTCTTTCAATAAGACAAGGGCCCTGCTTTTATCAGCCTTGAGGACAATGATGTGTTGTTCTGCTAACCACTTCTTGGATCTTGAGATCAGATTCCAGAAACCGTGATCCTGGTTCTGGCTGTTGGATGCTTGGATCTTGAAGGCAGTTTTCCATCTATAATATTCCTTGTGGACCCGGTCATATTAGTGATGAGGTTATCAATTTCAGGCGTTACCTTTTCCAGTTGTATTATGGAATCACCCGGTGCGTACATAGGACCATGCATTAGAGTGAGGATGAGAAATCTCGGGGATGAAATGTTGTCCCAGCAAACTAAGGAGCAGCTGTGTAACGTGTTCTGAGGTTTTTGTTTACACAGAATCCACGCCAATTTCTTATGATACTTGTTGTTGAGGCTTCATTCTAGCATTTCCTGGAAGACAGTTACCCTCCTGTTGACTTCATAAAGTAATGCATGATTTCCATCATGCAGCTGGACTTTTAAGGTTTAGGAGTGTTAATTTATATGCTTTCCAGTATTTGCGTAAGAAGATATTAAACAAAAGTGATAGACACTATTTTTAAAAATTTAATTAATATAATGAAATGTCTTAAAATTTTTAACCAAAATTAATTAAAATGTAGAAAATGATTCAAAGTACATTTATTTAGGTTTATCTGTGTGTTCTTTTAGCACAGATAAACCTATATAAATTTACTTTCACAGAAGTTTGAGAATATGAAAGCAAGCATTACAACACATATTAGCAATATTCTTAATATCAAGAAGAAATACAGTATCAAGAAATCAACCCAGTCAAATTATCTTCTAAGCTGCTTACAGACTAGAAATAAGTTAATTTGTTGAAAATTTGGTCTAGAGATAAGTGAGCAAGTAATGAATTGATAACGTTGGAAAATTCTAAGGAGAGGTAAAATTGAATCAGTACAAGATCTGAATATCAGTGCAGTAAACTGGATAGTAACTGTAAATTTGAATGACATTTTCACAACTCTCAAGTTATGTTAGCAGTATTTACTTAGAATCACAGAACTATACAATTTTATGTTCTTGTTAGGTATATTAATTAATTGTATTGGATGTCATGCCAGCAGTTGTGTTAATTCAATTAGAAACTTCAGACTAGGAGGCGTTAAAGAGAATTAAAAGGAATATTTTAATCTTGCAAGCACCTTCAATGTAAATATGTATGTCGTCCTCAGGCAATTCAAAATTGAAAAGAGAGTTATGAGACCTTATGTTCTTGTTATGCCAACCAGAGAGACTTTTCTCTACAGGTTTCTATGGCATTCAGTTAGCTGTAAATTCAATTTCTAATGTAATTTATAATTGAAATTACTATCTGATTCAGTAAACAAAGTTTGTTTAATAAAATTAATTCTAATTATTAAAAATATTACAGAACAAACTTCATTTACTTCTGAATATGTTCAAATTTATATCTAATGTGTAAGTATCTTGAAGAAATCTAATAGTGATTAATTATTTGATTTGATATCAGTTCAAAATTAATCAAGTGAAATGTTTTTAGTCAATTAATTTCTGTAAATTATGTCGGAGAGTTTGCAGAATAAACTTACTGGCAAAGCAATGATTATATTGAAATCTTTAGTAACCAAAAATGGTTTTTTGAGGTAAAATTTTGTATATTTCTAAAGCTATAAAGTATAAATTATTTCAGAAGAAATTATTACATTGTTCAGGAATTTTTATCTGTTGATATAGAGAAATATAAATGTAAGGATAATTCATTTCCATTTATATAAATATGTAATGATAGTATTACAATCAATTTAAAGGTTTTGTTGGGAAAAACTCTCAAACATTTGTTTGAAAATAAGCTTCCTTTAGTTTGATATCTTCAAATGTCATCTTAATTTTTGATTCATAACATTAATCAGTCAAAAATCAAAAAGTTATTTAATATTTTATCAGAAATAATTTTATTCTATATCACATTTCAACATACTATTCATTATTTTGAATATACAAAACATTCTTATCATACACTGCTAGTTCTATGTGTACTGTATAAGATATTTACTTTTATTAATAAGGGAAAACTGGAAAGTTAATTCATATGTATAATTTTGAAACACTTTTTCAAAATTATCCACTTTATTTTTTAAAAAAAAAGTTAAAATTTTAACTTGTATAAGAATTATTAAATGTTTAGATGCTATATCAAGCATTGCGAAGCCTGATATGTATATAGAAACATAAGCAAATGGGTCGCCTTAAATAATTGGGATATCACTCTACTAATTTTAATGATTGATACTAAGTAATTTGCTACCAGAGGTAGACATTAGGTATCATCTCTTAACTAAATTAATAATTAGAATTTTAATAATTTATTAAATAATTTAGAACCACCTGGAAGAAAAGAACTTACCTGGGACTGGGCTTGAACCTGCAACTTCTGCTTGCTATGCAGTGTGCTTGCCAGTAGTCTGCCTCTAGTAGCAAATTACTTAGTATTAATTATTAAAATTAGCAGAGATATAGCATGTTTAGATTCTTTGCTTTTATTAATAACAGGAAAAAATTTATGTAATTACATAGTCTCAAATTATCCATTTTACTGGTACATTAGTATTATATATACTGTAATATATAGTACTAATTTTATGTTTATATAAAATTTCTTTTTGAATATTACTAGTATTAATATATTTGCATTATAGTTTGTTAAATTTACAAGANGAAAAGCATTCTATATTATCTCCTTCCTACTTTTTTAACAGTGCCACCTTAACATTCCCAAACTATAGATCACATTATTTAATCAATTTAAATCATAAAACTAGACTTAAAAAAACATTATTAAAAGTTAAAAAACAAAAAAACAATTTAAAACTTTTATCAAATTTAAAATTTTTGTACATTCCATGAGCATGCAGCTGGAACAATTTTAAAAGACAGTAGCCTATTATGTTCTTGTTCAAATATTATTTATTATTTTTATTAATGCTTTCAAGTTCAAATTCCTTCTAGATTTCTAAAAAAATTTTAACTTAAAAAGGAAATAATGTTTATTTTAGAAAAATAAATGAAGAATAGTAATAAAATAACCATATTTTGTCAATTTATGTATATAAGCAATTTTTGTTTCAAAATTTCACCTTTCATGTAACAAAATCTATTTACATGTCAATGTTTTTATATATAATATAAAGACATTAAATCATGATTGTATCAAAATCACTATTTTTTTAATAAATACTCAAAAATTTCCTTACTTTTCTCAACAGGGTTTTAATTAGCATTGTATAATTATAATAATAATAAAATACTTTTGCTATCTATCTGAATATTTTATTTTAAAATACTGTATATAACATACATTTATTTAGCACAGAACTAAAATTTAAATTGTTAACACTAAACAAAAATATCTATTTTAAACCTTTGTTTAATGTTAACAATTTAAATTAATTATGTTATATATATATATATATAAATTATATATATATAATTGTTATATATATATAACATAATTAATTAATGTTAACAATTTAAATTTTAGTTCTGTGCTAAATAAATGTATGTTATATACAGTATTTTAAAATAAAATATTCAGATAGATAGCAAAAGTATTTTATTATTATTATAATTATACAATGCTAATTAAAACCCTGTTGAGAAAAGTAAGGAAATTTTTGAGTATTTATTAAAAAAATAGTGATTTTGATACAATCATGATTTAATGTCTTTATATTATATATAAAAACATTGACATGTAAATAGATTTTGTTACATGAAAGGTGAAATTTTGAAACAAAAATTGCTTATATACATAAATTGACAAAATATGGTTATTTTATTACTATTCTTCATTTATTTTTCTAAAATAAACATTATTTCCTTTTTAAGTTAAAATTTTTTTAGAAATCTAGAAGGAATTTGAACTTGAAAGCATTAATAAAAATAATAAATAATATTTGAACAAGAACATAATAGGCTACTGTCTTTTAAAATTGTTCCAGCTGCATGCTCATGGAATGTACAAAAATTTTAAATTTGATAAAAGTTTTAAATTGTTTTTTTGTTTTTTAACTTTTAATAATGTTTTTTTAAGTCTAGTTTTATGATTTAAATTGATTAAATAATGTGATCTATAGTTTGGGAATGTTAAGGTGGCACTGTTAAAAAAGTAGGAAGGAGATAATGTAGAATGCTTTTCTATAGGATAGCATTGTATTGTTTAATAATTAATGTGCAAGACCAGAAGGGTTTGTGATCTTGGTCCAGGACACTTTTGGCCAGTTCTGTGATTTACCTGTTATTTCATAGGAGAAGCAACAATTATACCATTATCACTTCGGAGGGCTTGGAGAAGGAACTACTACTATTTATAGAAATATTGTCCTCCATTTACTCTTCTGTTTTCTTCATGAAAGAATATGATGACAATGCTAAAATATCATTCTTATTCTATATATATATACACAGATCCCCAGGAGAAATTATGTTTTCTGTCTTCCATAAATTCAACACATTATTCTATCAATGGCCTTCCAACCCCACTCAGTATGTAAATTCCTCCATAATAGCTATTATAAGCAGAGCATTTCTCTTCCCCTCTAGTCAAGCAACAATTGACAATAAGTTGGATAACTTATTGTTAACCGCTGCTTGACTAGAATGCTATGTTTATGAACTAGTCAAGCTAGACTTGCACAACTGATACTAACTGCAATAAGCTGCAGTTAGTATTAGTTGTGATATGTAAGGCAGGCTATACATCTGCAAAATTCAAATATTTTGTTAACTGCATAAAAATAACTTTATGCTAACCACTCTGTGCATCTTAGCTACATACAGTCCACAATACTATATTTGCGGTCATTAGCTACCACATACACATTCAGAAAATTCAGGTTAATCTTCTCACTGACCCCATCTATGTTGTGTCAGCTTTTAATAATGACAGAGATGAAGTCAACTTGCTGGAAAAATTTGGAATATATGCCATAT